CACACCTGGACCCGAAGAAGAGGAACACATATGTGAGAATGCTGTTCATTGACTACAGTTCAGCATTCAACACCATTGTGCCCTCCAAGCTGGCCATCAAGCTCAGAGACCTCGGACTCAACAGCGCCCTCTGCGACTGGATCCTGAACTTCCTGACGGGCAGACTCCAGGCAGTGCGGGTGGGAAATATCACATCCTCCACCCTGATTCTCAACACCGGTGCCCCTCAAGGCTGCGTGCTCAGCCCTCTCCTCTACTCCCTGTTCACCCACGACTGCGTGGCCACACACAGCTCCAACACCATCGTGAAGTTTGCTGATGACACGACCGTCATCGGCCAGATCACAGACGATGACGAGACGGCATACAGAGAGGAGGTCGAAAACCTGACATCTTGGTGCCAGGAGAACAACCTCCATCTCAACATCAGCAAAACAAAGGAGCTGATTGTGGACTACAGGAAGCAGCAGGGAGAGGGACACGCCCCCATCGCCATCAATGGGACTACGGTGGAGAGAGTCAAAAGCTTCAGGTTCCTTGGGGTCCACATCACTGAGGACCTGACATGGTCTCTTCACACCACCACCATCACCAAGAAAGCTTGACAGCGGCTCTTCTTCCTCCGCAGGTTGAGGAGGTTCAAAATGGATTCCAGGATACTCTGCAACTTCTACAGGTGCACGATAGAGAGTATCCTCACTGGCAGCATGACGGCCTGGTACGGCAGCTGCACCGACCTCGATCGTAAGGCTTTACAGAGGGTGGTGAAAACTGCACAGCACATCACCAGGACGGAGCTGCCATCCATGGAGGACCTTTACTCCCAGCGGCTCAGGAAGAAATCACTACGGATTATCAAAGACCCCCATCACCCCAGCCACAAACTGTTCTTTCTGTTGCCGTCTGGCAGACGTTACCGCAGCATCCTGGCAAGGACAAGAAGATTCGGAGACAGTTTCTTCCCGCGGGCAGTGAGACTGTTAAAAAATTGAACTGTTGAAACAACTTCAAACATTCAACTGCTACTCAGTAGTATGTATCTAATACCTAATATATATATATCATTCCAATAACTTGTATATAGACTCATACTGCACTATTCCACATCATAACTTTATTTCATTTTTATAACTATTATTATTTTTGTATTGCTCTTGCTCTTATTGTTATTATGTTATGTTATTATGTTGCATTGTTGGAGAAGCCTGTGACATAAGATTTTCAACTGCATAATTACTCTGTAGCTATGTCAGATTGACAATAAAGAACCTTGAACCTTGAACCTTGAACCTCATCTCCACCGCTCCCATGTTTTATTTTGTGTTGCCATAAGTTAGTCTCTCTGCGTTTGTGCGCTGGGCGAATGCTAATGCTAATAATGCTAATGCGAGGATAATAAAATGGCGGCTCTACAAAACATTTCAGAGTTTTACGGGGCGTGGTTTGCAATCAGAACTGGGGCACTTTTTCCCCCCAGGAAAGTACCATCTCTCAGCAGGCACTAAAAATGGGGGTAAAAGTACTCTTTTTGGTATGAACGCGACATAAGGGGTACTAACGGAACTAAATGCGAAAAGTACGGGGAAAAGTACTCCGGTGTGAACGCGGCTATTGACTTCAATACATAATTTTTCCAAAATAAGGTCCCATGGGGCGGAAGTAGAAGGGCGGGACTTCGACTCTATAGAAAAACAGGATCAACAGTAAAGTAGTAATCCCAGAGTGTTTGCAACGCAGCGGAAACAATATCAGAGACGTTTTAGAAAATAAAAGCATGTGTCCATATTTTGATAAATGGCTTTGATAAATGCCGATGCCGATTATTTATTTGGACAGTTACAATAAACAATGTAACAATAGGCTAATCTAAAATGTTTGTTTTATTTCTATCTAGCTTTGTCGTTCTTGCTTTAAAGGTAGGGTCAAGCCCCCAGGAAGTGCGCCGGACTCTGTGCCCAACATTCGTTGTGTCCAAACGGCGGTACTGCAACTCCCGTATCAGTCCGTGACGTCACCCGGCCCAAAACAACTTTTTCCCATTGACTAACATGGGGAAAGAGATGTCTGTAAATCGGTGGATAATTTTTTTGTAACTAAGTAAACTACCCAGTATTAACTATTTGATAGCCCTTATTAGAATCATTTGGTCCTTAAAGTTGTAAAATGCACTAAAAGCCAAATCTAGATTTATTTTCTCTCTCCATTCATTCTAGTGAGCCGAGGGTGTTTCTCAATCGCGAGTAAAGCTGCTGCAGAGCCACTATTTCAAGCATACTACGTCATTGAGTGCCGCCGAAGTACTGTTCCAATCTCCAGCATACTTGGAAATCTACCGAGCCCGGCGTACTCCGTTTGGAGAAATATCGAGGCTGCACATGAGTAGACTCCGCGGTCTTAAAATCCCCACAATGCTTTGCGCACGGACCAATTTCCAAAATCTGTGGCGGAAAATGTAAGGCGGGGCCTCTCATATGACGCACACCTGCACACTTGCTAGCCTGTTCCACTCTTTGTTTTCCAAATGTCAGGAAGTATTCTTGACTCGCTTCTGAAGCAAGATGCTCGGCAGACATGTGCTACCAAGCAAGCGTACTCGCGATTGAGAAACACCCTGAGAGTGGGAGCTCGGGGGGCGGGGCTCAAGGGACGCATGCTCTGTGAGCGCACATACAGGGTGTTTCTCAATCGCGAGTACGCTTGCTTTGTAGCACATGTCTTCCGAGTCACTTCCTTCAGAAGCTAGGCAAGAATCCTTCCTGGCATTCGGAAAACGAAGAGTGGAACAGGCTAGCAAGTGTGCAGGTGTGCGTCATATGAGAGGCCCCGCCTTACATTTTCCGCCACAGATTTGGGGAAATTGGTCCGTGCGCAAAGCATTGTGGGGATTTTAAGGACGCGAAGTCTACCCATGTGCAGCCTCGAAATTTCCCCCAAACCAAGGACGCGGCCTCGGTGGAATTCCAAGTATGCTGGACATTGGAACGGTCCTGCTGCGCCACTTGACGTAGCATCCTTTAAATATTGGCTTGGAAGCCAATATCCTCGCGATTGAGAAACGGCCACAGGTTCTTCTGCTCTGGCAGCCAGGCATGACGGGTAATCTGTGACGTTTCGCTCTCTCAAAAGTTGGGCCATTTTGACTTCATGCACCAATGAGCAGCTCTCATAGGAAAGAACGAGACCCCGCCTCCCATGCTGTATCCAGTTCTTATTATACATCCATGGGTAGGGTAGGTAAGAATGGAGAAAATAATTGGTCGTGCTTTGTGTAAAAAGCATGACCAATCATCTGAGCCGGCCCGGCTAAAATAACTGGATGGCCTACCTGCCTGTCAGCCTTCCATCTGTGCACAAATGTATCTCGTGCCCTCATTGGTCATGTGCGCGTTCGTGTGTGTTGGAGGAGGGGCTCTGTAAGGAAGTCTGAAGGAAGGGGCAGATTTTTTTTCGGCTGCGTACTTTCAAATTCTAGCGCACTCGAGCTGGTTTCTCCATTCTTACCTACCCTACCTTTAACTGTGAGCCTATTTCGGTGTAGGCCTATGTACATTTGAGCAACAAAAAAGTGCTGTTTGAACTTTGTTAAAGTCCCAGTAGTAGAGCTGTATTTCATCACAAGCAGTGGCGTTTTCTCCCGGAGGCCAAGGGAAGCCAGGCTTCCCCTGTTTTTTCGGATTGTAGTTATAATTTAAATAAATAAATAAAAACACTTTGTTTTGTTTCGATAATTCTCCTTTGCTGTGTGTTGCTGCCGGCCCGTCTCTCCCCCACTCTCATTGAGTATTTTACAAAGAGTGAAACAAACAGCGCCCCTCTAGATGTTATGGTGAAACAGTAGATTGCATTCACTGTTGCGAGAGGAGGCCAGCCGAATCGGGCTTCCCTTGGTGAAAAAAATTGAGGGATTGACCAATCAGATGAGGCCCACGTGATGCCCCTGCCAACCTGTGATTGGTCAGGGCCATGCCAAGGGAAGCCAGCCGCCTCTGGCTTCCCTTCAGAGGCGGCTGGCGATTTGATTGGACACTGCCATCCAATCAAATCACATCAACATCAGTTTTACTACGTACTGTAGTAGCCTACTGTAACTGTCATCACCGCCGTTTGAAATGATCAAGCAAATGAAGCATTATTTATTCCATATAGGGCCTCACCTGAATAGATGAGATTGTTTATATTTTTTAGTTACTTTTGGACTACGGACTGAGCTAATTACAGAGACGAGGACTGTTGCTGCACTTGCCGTGTGTTAGAAAGGGAAGGGAAGAGAAGGTGGACTATCGCATGCAAATGTTTCTGTACATAATTGTTTTTGAATTCATGTGTTTCATACACGCCTACTGATACTTTGATGTGAAAGTAAAACTTTAAAGGTCTCCTGATTTACTTTGTGAATGAATGCTTCTTTTTTATTCATTACCGAATCTGCACTGCGCATTGAGCGGCTGGTATTGCATTTGGGGGGGGTGTGTCTGCATAAATTAATAAGAAAATGCTTAAATTAATAAGACGAGAGTTTCGGCTGGAGAGTGCGTGCGGACCTGTCGGTTAGATAACAGGCGTGTGCAAGTCCTGCATCTGTGTGATACAAATGTGTGTAAAATGATACCGGGCGCTGTAATCACTCATCTGGTTACGTTATTGACCAACCCCCCCCCCAAACCAAAAAAATGGGCTTCCCTACATTTTTCCCCACGCCACGCTACTGATCACAAGGGCACCAAAGAACATTTTAAATTTTAAATTGTAGTGTTTTGGTGCCTGTAGTTGAAAATCTCTGGCATATTAATATTTTTATAAAATAAAGATACCTGTAAATAATAAAAATACCTGTAAATAATAAAGATACCTGTAAATAATACCTGCTGATATCTTAACATATTTCAATTATCTACACGTATATATATATATATATATACATATATTTGTTTCAGCTACACAAAACAAAACTTTAATCAGCAAATCAAATGTACCAAAAGGTGAAATAAAGACCACTAAGGTATGTTTAAGAGGTTTATTCTCAAATAAAACTGCCACTGTCCTATCATATAAGCAAGGAACAGCTCAAAGCTGTTAAAGCAGTCATACATAAATCAAATTCAGCACTGTGTATACTGTAAAATTAAAAGTGACTGGAACAAATCCGAGATCAACACATGGGGAACATCAATTCAGCACACAGTGAAACTGATTAGGTTGATAAAAGGGACAGTGCAGGACAGAAACAAACAGTACAAATGTGACGTCATTTTAAAGGCATGGCGGACAACAAATACCTCCGTATGCCATCATGAGAGGAAGCATTTAACAGCATCAGATTTCAGAAATCAAAATGGAGGCATTACAATATTATAATATTCAGCCAATTCTCAATGGAGAAAAATAGTTTGAGATTCGACACATTTTAGGAAAAAAAAAACAGTTTTCACTGCAATGTCTCTAACCTCAAGAACTCAATCTTAAAGTCTACTTTTAAACTGCTCAAAACCTTGCTTAAAGTCAATGGCGACATTTAGTATTACCTTAACAGGAGTGTAGCTTCTGCTACCCCACTATAAATAAGGAAGATAAGATATGCAGCAGAAGCAACAATTAAAACAATCAAATAGAAACTAATTTCTTTTTTTACTATACTGACCAACAACCTGCACACAGAATACAATCATGGGGAAGAAAATGTAACTTAAAAAAGATTCGGAATAGTCAGCCAGTGAGAGCAGACGGGTGCAGGGGTTGAGTCTGATAAGGAATAATAAGTCTTCTTCTCTCAGTCGGCTGCAGGCGTAGGGCTGCGGTGAGGGCTTGCTGAACGGGAACGACTGAAACAAAAATAAAGAGGGATTAGCTTGCCACAGGGGAGGATGGAAGAATGATCAGACAGAAATTCCACAGTTCTCAACATCTGACACAGTTTTAACCTTTTGAGAAAGTTCATGACCGGATACACACTGATACTTGTAAACAGTCTGAATACCTCTTTAACCTGTCAGAACAAGTTTTAATGTGAAGAGTCAAAAAGTATTTTCGTACACCTGTAATTTTTTATATATATTTGTCTAAGGCGACTAAACTTTGCATTTCAAATAAATAATTGTCCAGGGTGAAGAGTGAAATACACAAACACACCTGGGGAGAAAACAGTCTTTTAAAAAACTGACAGGTCATTGACAGTCTCCCCACCTGCAACTACAGCAGATTGTTAACATAGTATACTCTGAAGAGACATTTAGGCATTTTTTTTTTTTACGAGTGTTTAATGTCATGACCGGAGAAGGAACTGCACAATTAAAAGCCACCATATTTTTATTGGTTATTATAAAGTTCTAAGGAGTACTAAAATACTTTTTAAAAATGGTTTATTATAAAGTTCTTAGGAGTACTAAAATAAATACTTTATTGGTGAAGTAGCCTAAAATGGTCATGTATGGCAGAAGCAGGGCTCAAACTCAAATGTGTGCATTCATCCCAGAGATGCAAAAAAATGATTGGGGATGATAACAATTACATTTTGGGACATGTACAGGACAAGAAAGTAGATATAACCTAAGAAAAAGTAAACTACAAATAAACACTGATTTTATTCTCTGACAATGTTTTCGCTATATAACATATGTGTATTTAACAAATAATTTTAAAAATACATTTAGCTGTTTGTATGGTGTTATATTTATGCCAGTCATTACTTTTAACTAAGGATATAGAATTTGGACGGCCACCAAATACTTCGGGGATTGTTTAATTGTATTTGACAGTGGTAAAAATGTTTAGTGAGACCTGGGCACAAGAAGAAAAAAACCATTTGACTATAGGCGCTTTCACACCGGATTACTTTTCCCAGGAATAGTTCCGATAGTTCCTGGGATTTTGCGTTCACACCAAAAAGATCTGGAACTAGAACTTTTTTTTGCGGGAACTAAAGAGTTCTCATGAACTAAGTACTGGGAACTAAGTACAGCAAAGTACTTGGTGTGAAAGCGCCTTATGCCCCCCTCAGAAATATAATCTATTGAATCTCATCTTGTCTCTCTCTCTCTTGCACTCACTCAATCATCCAGCCACTCACGCATACAAACACATTTGTACTCTGAGCATGCTTGTTAAAGGCTCAACTATAGCTCTCTAATCACCAGTTTTGAAGACTACACCAAGCCTGTGCATTTCTTTCACCATGAACATGAGCTTTTCAGGGGGTTTGTTTTTTTGTTACCTTTGGAGACAGTGGCAGAAACAACAAGTACAGAGAAGCGAAGGATGACTACAACTCGGAGAGACTGCGGTGGGAGGCTCTTGAAGTCTGATCTCTCGTCAGCTCTTTCTCTCCCTTTCAGAAGCTAAGACAGAGGCCGAAGAACTCTGGTAGGTAGGGGGGTCTGGTAGGTAGGTAATGGATTTAAATGATCTGTGTGGGTCAGCCCTCTGGTACTTCTGAAGACTCTAGTAGAACAACTGAATGTGTGCACGGGCTGATCTCGTCTGAGCGTGTGCGTCGGTCGAACAGACGGTCACCCATTCACTGTGGGGGGGTAGGTCGGAAGGTCGACCTCTTTCTCGCTGTCTAACACCAGATGCAGGCGAAGGCTGATCTCAGGTCAGCGCTTAGTCACCCTCCCGCAGGACGTACACACCGCCAGCTGGCAGACCATGGGCCTGGGATCAGCTGTGGTGTCAGTGCAGTGCTCAGCTCCCACCACACGCTTTAAAGAAAATATGAAAAATAAACAAAACTGTGCTGCAGAGATGCTTAACTTAAGTCACACCAAGGGTGTCGTCAGCTAATATTCTTTCTAGAGAATTCCTTTGATCTAGCCAGATTCATGATAGGGAATTTAAGAAGAAATTAAAACATTGAAAATACTTCCTGAGACCATCTTTACTTAACACTTATCAATCCCATAATTACAGTTTTCTCTCTTGCAATGTCTGCACTTAAATTCATTTCTATAAAATACAACTACATAGTTTGTGTCTTTAAAGGAAAGCAAGAGTACATAGGACATGTCCCTGGCTTTAGCTGCTAAGAGTCTCAACAGTTTACTGGCTCTGTAGAAACAATCTTTCATGTGCTCTCTTTTCAGGCTTTAAGCTGAGGTTAAATAGAGCTATCAAGAGCTGGAAAAGAGAGCACAGGAGAGACGGGGACATCTAATCTTTCATTTACTCATACTTCCCTACACCAGACAGAGGGCCCAAGTCACTGTCGCTACCCATCCCCCACTCCACAGCTGGCCCCCAGCAGAGCAGAAGACTTGGCGAAGATGCAGATCTCTCTGCGTCGAGGAGTCTCGCTCGTCCATCTCACTTCTGGCGGTTGTTTGGTGGCAGAGTGACGCTCCCGGGTGGATGTGGGGGTTATTTAATAGTAATTCCCTGGCTAGGATGGAGCGCCTAAGTTCTGGCTAATGTGAAGAACATAACTAAGCTCTCTTAGAACGCAGGATAGTTGTGGTCTTAACTATCTTAATTCTATACTGGTTAGTCTAGACCTTACTTCTTCCTTATACGTTTTTACACAAGTTTAAAATGTCTGGGTAAAACACTGACAACTGGCAGGACTAAGCAACTAAAATCTTGTTTTAATGAGTGAGAGACATTAAGACGGTTTACCTGTTCCTTTTGTGGTCGGCTGAATGAGATCGTGAGCGGGAACGTGAGACGGAGCGCCCTCTGGGGGGGGAGCGCCCTCTGGGGGGGGAGCGCCCTCTGGGGGGGGAGCGCCCTCTGGGGGGGGAACGACCTCTGGGGGGGGAACGACCTCTGTGCGAAGAGCGCCCTCTGGGTGCAGAGGTGGACCGAGACCGAGACTTGGAACGACTGGAGAGAGAAACAACAGGATCCACTTTTGAATAATTAAGAATTAATTATTTTCTTCACAGATGAACATGTAGTGCTGACCTGACAGTCAGAATCAGTGCTGCCCCTAAGCGAAATGTTGTCATGAGACCCACACACACTTGGTCTTAAAAAACAACTATTTTAATATCATTTTTGCCCATTATGCCCATTATGCCCAACTGGCCAAAAGTGATGCACTGCTGCGAGGAATGACTGAGCCGTGAAGTTGAAATGACGAGTCACTTTGTTTGTTTAGAAGAGCACACATGCTCGTTTGCTGTTTTGCCATCAATACTTTTATTTCTAACTATTCCTATTCAGGCGTGAACTTATGTAAACGTATCTTCAATTTATAAAAGTGACATTATGTGACTCCCGTCACTCACTGCATTCATGTCTCACCCAACAATCATGTCACAAGGGTGGAATGTTTGCTATACAACAGCAGTGCCTTTCAGATACAAGCTGTGTAATTGTGTCATGAAAAACTGTCGCACACACAACCTACCTTCTCACTGACGTCCTGGACTTGGAACGGGCTGGAGAGCCAGACCTAATGTTACAGAAAATAAATATACACAATACACAACACGGAAAAGGAGTGGCCACATCTGTCACATACTGTATATCGCCATTACAAAACCTAGAAAATTGATGTATTAACATAACAGTTATTTATAGTAAACCAAGCTTTATTCTTACCGGCTCCTGCGTCTGGAATAGGATGGAGATCGGCGGCGGCTCCTGCAAAAAGTACGACAAAAGTGAGTTAACAAAAGGTTCGCGTGATGGCCGGGCTGCCATATAAAACAACGGGGATGACATTCTTATTCTGAAATGTCTAATGCTGCACAGCTTTGCATGTCTATTCATTCTGTTTAGGGCAAGTATTTCTGCACTGTTGCAGATAAAGATTGGGCTAAACTAAAGTTATACTTCTACGACTTGTATGATAAAAACATTTCCAATAGGTCCAGGGCAATGTCAATTAGTTGCAATTATTAACCTGCAGAGACTTGAATCGACAGCAACTTACTACCCAAAATGCATTCAGAAAAACTTTGAGAGACTTTGAATGTAACAAAAGTGGGCATTATGACAGTTTTCAAAACTAAATGATCAATTTAGTTATCATCCTGTGTTAATTCATGTAACCGTAACTTCAGAAATGCAATTCATCTGATCTAATCGGTGTGATTTGCAGCACTCAAACCAGTACATTTAGACTTAAAAGCATTAGGTTTCATGCAATAAGTGCCAAAAATCAGAAGCCAAAAACCACTGAGGTTCTGTGCCTACATACCTGCTGGGGCTACGGCTGCGGGAGCGAGAGAGATAACGGCGCCCACGGGACCTGGACCTTGAGCGAGATCTAGAACGAGAATGGGACCTGAAACGAAAACAAACTCATTTATTCCCGACTGTCTTTGAGGTACAGGACGGCCAGAGCTGTTCTCATCAGAGCAAGTGTCAAGTGTTTCAGCCACAACCTCGTCAACAGACAGTAATCCTTCACCTGCTGCGACGGCCTCCTCTCTTGCTAAAGCGGTAGCAGTCATAGGCGTAGTGGCCTCGGTCCCCGCACTGGTAACACCGATCCTTGGGGTCAAACTGGCGTCGGCTGGGGCGTCCACGGCCCTTCCTGGAGAGGCCTGTCGAGAGCTCCACACGAACACGGGAACCACAAAGAATCCTGAGGAGAAGAAAGGTCAGGGCAGAGACAGGTGGAGTTCCTGGTCCACATGCCAGATGTAAGGAATAAAACCCTTATCGAGTCCCCTTACATTTAACTTTTGCATTTCTTAAGTCTGTTACAAGGCAACACACCCATCATTTAACACGTTTGAAGATGGAATTTGTTCATTTCATAAGGAAAATATTATTACTTACTTTCCATCCATGCCCTTCACAGCATCTTCTGCATCCCTGGGATCCTCAAACTCCACGAAGGCAAACCCAGGTGGGTTCCTGGCCACCCAGACGGTCCTCAGTGGGCCATAATAACTGAATGCTCGCTCCAGCTCCCCCTTGGCAGCACCATTGCCCAAGTCACCAACGTACACTTTACAGTCGGTGGCCCGAGACGAGCTGCGGGAGGATGAATAGTGAGACATCTCTTATTGCCTCCTGGGAAAAGAAGAAAATAAGAATAAAATGGTGGTTTTGTTCATTAAACAATAATGTAATTGACAGATATTTGTTTATTTTTATATTACTAACACATGTGTCTGACAGCTTTAGGGATTATTAGATTTCAATTTTTCATTGATTTTCTGTTCAGTGAAAAACATGTTCATGACCAACTGTGTTGATTTCAAATGTTTGTGATAAAACTAAATGTATCTTTATGCATTGCGAGAATCATCCCACTTCTTAAGCTGAACAACTATTTTAAAAGCCTCTTGGAACTGCTGGACAATGCATCAAAGCAAAGCTGAACAAAGGGATGTTTTTCTGAGCTCAATCCTATACTTTTTAGAGATACGTGGTTCTCTCAGGAGAGTGATACTACAAACGTTGATGATTATATAGAATATGATGCATTGAGGTAGATTTAACTACCCGACAGTATATCAAGGAGTTAAAAAGAGCACAACCTTAAACATCTACAGCAGTAAAATGCATCATTAACACAGCAGCAAAAACAATATAAACATAAGATACAGTACACAGCATAGACAAGTAAACCCACTCTGAAACCTAACCTAAGGAGAATGGCAGCCAAGCTGTCCTCCCTGCTGGACAATGTGTCCCCCACCCCCTCCAGGACACCCTGTCTGCACTGTGCAGCTCCTCCAGTGACAGGCTGCTGCCCCCCCGCTGTCTCACGGAGAGATACCGCAGGTCCTTCCTTCCTGCAGCGGTCAGACTACATAACCAGCACGGCCCCTAGTAGACCCCCCCCCCCCACACACACACACACACACACACACACACACACAAGAACATAGACTATAAAACCTCTTGTTGTTAAATACCAACTATGTGCAATATGTGCATCGTTAAAAACTGTGCAATATATACCTGGCTGCTAAATCCTCAGAACTGTTACAGGGTGTGTATTTTTGTAAAATGTGTAACTTCTTTATTATAATTTCTTTTTTTATCTTTAGTACTTTTTTTATGCATGCTTAGGTAACATTAAGCTGTATTTGGGTCTTTTCTGCCGTAACAATGTCAATGTCCCCTCTGTGGGACTAATCAAGGTATTCTGATTCTAACTCCTTGCTCCTCAGGGGCACCACAGCAGGGCCCAGGAGGTGAACTGGGACCTCTCAAGTAGCAGTCCACACTCCATACGTACGGTCTGGTCGGGGACTTGAACCGTTGACCCTACGGCTCACAGTCCAAGCCCCTACTGACTGAGACAATGCCAGACATAAAGTGGTACCTAACCCACTGAATCGCTCAGACTTATTGCTGACAACAATTGCACCACATGGGAAATAATTTTCTGGAGAGTTCAGTAAGAACATTTTTTCATTTCATTGCGCAGGAGAATCCCAAAGCAAGTGCCTCAGAGCTGGCATAAGCCAAATTGGACTGACCATTTCATCCCACACAGTAAGACGCTCTTTAGCCTTTGCCAAGGCCCATATTGATAAAGGTGAAGACTTTTTGGAATCAATACTCTGGTCAATCTTTTCAGATCTGGTGGCATCAGAAATGTATGGCGTCGCAAGGCTGAAGAGTACTCTGAGAAGTGCATGGTCCCTACAATGAAGTACGGTGGTGGTAAAGTTATTACATGGGCATGTATGAGTGCTGCAGGTGAGGGGGAATTGTACTTCATCAATGGCAACATGAATTCACAGAAGTACTACACAATCTTGAAAGATATGATACTACCCTGTCTCCACATCCTGGGCACTCTTTCAATGTGACAATTACCCTAAACAGTCTTCCCGCTGCATTTTTAAGGAAGAACAAGGTGAAAGTGCTGCAGTGGCTAAGTATGTCACCCAACTTCAATCCTATTGACCACATGTGGAACACAGGACAATATCTCGTGAACTTGTACACTCGATGCCAAGAAGGGTCAGTGCAGTACTTGAAAGTAACGGAGGACATACGAAGTATTAGAATATGACATTTGTTTAATTTAATCTAGGGTGTACTTCTTTTTGCAACCCTTGATTCAAACAAAGTTGACTAATTCACTTATTTGACAGATATTGATGACATATACATACATATCTTTCTATGGTGTTTTTATAAATGTTTAATACTTTTCTAATGTTGTATCTTTCCATGAATTGTAATGGTGATCATTGAATAACACCAACATATACAGGGCATTCTACCGAATTAGTACAAAGTGCGGTCCCACAACAAGAAAAACTATTTAACAAAACAATTAAGTATTCAGACATAGACATTTACTAAGAATATGTTATGGTCTATTTAAACACAAGGCATTAAATTAGATAGTGATAAGCTTAATATATACACAGGGTATATGCAGGAATCCTGAAGTCAAATTGAATACCTTTTAAGACCTTTTTTAAGACCCTTTCCATACATTTTAAGACCTCATCGCAACTTCGAGTTTTAACCGGTTACATTGGCAACACACTTTACCTCACATTTACTATATTGATTGTAAGATAGCACAACTAAACAGTTTGTGATAACTCCTTATCATAATTCAGATAGAACAAAGCACAAGAGAATGAATTGTGTGACCAACCCAATGCAAGGTTTATTAGAAAAAGAAACCATTAGAAAGTAGTATTTGATTTAGGCATTGTTCCCAAGAGATAAAACAGACAGACTACTGAAGCCTCCTCTCCACATGAACTTCAACCTCTCTGTCAAGGTCAGGTTTAATGCAGTATGCTGCTTTTTTTGCTTCTGTAGACTTTGTGCTCTTTCATTCCAGTAAAACTCCTCAGAAACCATTAGAAACCAGTATTTGACCAATAAACAAAACAATTGACAAAACTTTGAACTATGAAATATATTAAACTTTGGTGAGCTTTAGCGGGGTAATGCCATATAGGAGCTCCCTCACAAATACCCAGGGGTTAAATTGGGCCGGGGCTGTCCGGGGCTAAGCCCCGGCACATAGGACAATACTCTGACGTCATCACCCTCGCACATTTGTCATATGTTTACAAAAAACGATATATATGTTAACTTTTCTCGTTCTTAATATAGACTATATTTAGGGTCGATATGTGTTGACTTTACTTTAAAATAGCAGATCTCTGTGACCGGATATAGTTTGGCTTAGTGAACGTGTGTCTCTTCCTTGGAGGAGCAGCATCGCCCGGACTCCGCGGCTCCTCCGTGCAGAGAGTCTGCACTGCAGCGGTGTGTGTCAGCGACGTGCAGTCAGGGGAGGCACGGATTGGCCATCGGGAGAGTCGGGACTGAAACGCCGGGACTGAAACGCCGTGGCTTTCTGGCTAGCACTTAGCATGTGGGACCGGACAGCTTTGATCCCCATCGACAGTGGCGATTCTAGAGTCTGTGGGGGGCCCTCGAACCAGCTTTCATCACCATCAGTGGCGCCCCAACACACTCTCCCTTCCCCCCCCCCCCCCCCCCCCCCCCACCCAGAGCGGATTTGAAAATACACAACCGGAGAAAATCTGCCACTTCCTTATAGAGCCCCTCCTCCAACACACACGAACGCGCACATGACCAATGAGGGCACGAGATAAGTTTGTGCACAGATGGAAGGCTGACAGGCAGGTAGGCCATCCAGTTATTTTAGCCGGGCCGGCTAAAATGATTGGTTGTACTTTTTACAGTATTACGGCTTCCACAGATGACATTTTTTTATGGATTTTTTGTCAAAGCATTTAAGATATTCATTGCTATCGGGATGTTAAGAGCATTCCATGGAATATAACAAAAAGTGTATCTCGAGCCGGTTTCTCAAACTTACCTACCCTACCTTTAACCTATAATTTTTTACTACATTGTATGTACTATGTTTCGGTAGTGACCATTTTTGGTAGAGGAAGAACATTCCAATTGAGTCTGAAAATACGATATTAAAATGTACGGTTCTTTTAGTAGATATGTGTAATTTAGATATGGTACAAAATATATATGGACAAAGTTTTGGGAAAAAAACATACAACATTTCCAACCTGACTTTGGTCCAATTCGGTAGAATGGCCCATTACATGTTCAGAGGGGATGTACTCATTTATGCTTGTACTTTAATAGAAAAAAACTGATAGGGATCTTTTAACTGTACAAAGAATAATTGTTAAACCTTTATCTAAATGTTGTATTTTTAAGGAGTTATGAGTTACTTGTAGTAGAGTATTTTCACGGTAAAAGGTCTAGTTCCTTTACTTGAGTTAAGATCAGAATACTCCTTCCACCTCTCCACCTTTAGCAGAGGGAACTGAAGCACCTTGTTGGTAGATCAGCAGGTGCAACAGGGCTGATGCTGCTGTCTGAGCGCCAAACACAGCCTCCTGAAATCTCTTTAATTAAACATCTCTCACGTCCTATCCGTGTTTAAACTGTTTTCACAAGCATTAACGATGTATTTGTATTTGAATAACCGTCGTAGTTTACTGTTAAATACATGGCCGCAGAGTTATTAACCAGGCTCGTTACATAAACCCAACAGTCTATACAATCTCATATGATTATTCAGGGTAAAGTTTTCTGATTGCACAGTTTTTTACTTGAATTAGAGGATATGAACGGATTAGTTTATATAACGTGAGCTTTTCTGCATTCAAGTGGAACATGGAGCCCTATGTAGCTGACTAACCCTTCATTGAACAATTTATTATATCATTTTTACAGATAATTATTCAAATTAAAATACACAATACATGTGCTGTGTGTATATTTAAGTGGGTTTACCCAGGAATTAGCCTACGGCCTAGCTCTCTGCCTGCGCATAAACAATGGCGATTGCTCGCGCTAACGTTACCTTCTTCCGCTGTTCCGCTGACGAACCTACACCGTCTCTAACGGGGTTTTAACCGAATCGAGATTCGTGTTGCAAAGTGAGCGAGCTAACAAGCCACTCTTATTGATATAAAAGATACAGCCACATATCTGGGTTATGGCTAGAAAGGATCCGTCTTGTGTAAAACTCTCGCGAGAGTTTGCAAGTCACGTGGCTGAATGTTTACGTTTGGCAGGCAGCCTTTCAGTTACGATCGTTAACATCAGTGGGCCACCACAGCAAATGATGGTGAGAAGCTAAACTATCTATTAATTATGTCAATTACAGGGAGTGTGATTGTTGAAATAGAGTGTTAGCGGTCTTGCTGTTCAAAGAAGAATGACAACAGTGTAGATCACCAACACTATGGTTTATTTTTTATTCACAGGCAAGTCAACGTTGTCGGAGTAAAAGTCCCAAGATAGCTCCTGGTGCAATAAAATGTTCCCTTTCAGTGTTTTACTATTATGTCTGATGTTTCTCTATTAATATTGCTACTCTTTCCGAGCCGCTCCGATTACAACGAGAGTCTGACGGACCGTCTACACAGCAGCGTTAAAAAAATCTTGAAACGCTTCTGCCCATTCACTTTGAATGGGGTGACGTCACTTTCCCTCACTTTTTGCCGAAATGCATTGTGGGCAGGCGAGCGGAGATTTTCAGGATTTTCGAGAAGGGTCTAGCTGCGGCCGCGGCCAGTACACGACACTACACGACACGCCCACCTGACACGACACTACGGTGGCTGAGAGACATTACCGTACATGGCAGATTAAAAGCGAATTGACGACACTGACGCTGACGCAAGGATATTTAACGAGACATGAGGTTTACAGAGAACAGACAAACAATATGGCGCACCGAGTACAGGTAATTAACGTATTGTGGTTTTAGATATAATTACATACTATTTAGGTTCTCGTTTGTTTGTCGATGTGGCTGTTTAGCGCAGTGTAATTGTGTTTATTTTGATAATTTGTATTTTAAATATTAAATGTAAAGGAATGGAATACATATATTTATATATATATATATATATCTTAGCTCTTAGCTTGACATGCTCGACGTTCAGTTAGCATATATGCTAACTGAACATGCTCGTTCAGTTAGCATGTCAAGCTAAGAGCTAAGATATATGTATATATTTTAGCTTGACAGATGGAATGTACTCGCATTTTTACAAGAATCTGATTTTGTGTAAGTTTTAAATATTCATTGAAGGTATCTTTCACATTTGAATGTTTTAAAAAAACAAACATGTATTAGCTGCTATAGAGGCTTCCTAATGACGTCACGGGATTTCGCGTTAGACATCTTGGAGTACCACTCTACTGGCGGGAGCGTTCAAAAATGGCGAAAATGAAAGACTACTACGAATCACTAAACCCGGAGGATAAGACCGTTTACAGAGAAAAATGTGCGTCGATTGGTTCGGTGGACCCTTATTTGATTCCCTTTAAGGATTACAGCACTGATATAAATTCATGGCCTTCACTTTCCTACTGTGATATCGTGAACTACCTGGTTTTTTCGCCTATTCCATTGTACACCATGGAGGAAATGAAAGCGTACAAAGGACTCGAGGCACATAACCAGTTGACATCCGGGTGGATCCGCGACGTTTGCGTTGCATATCAAGGAGATGTGGCTGTAATAGCTGGAAAAGTGAGTAAATATTTCGTGAGGGCCTCTTCAGCTGGCTTTTTAAATATCCCTAAAGTCCCCCAAAATAAAATGGGTGAGGCTGCTTTTATCCACTACGCTACCAAGAAATATCAGAGGCCAACTCAGTGGACATTTTTAAACACCAGCTTTTATTTTTGTTGTACTTTATTTTATAGGGTTTTATATTGTTGCATCAATTAACTTAGTCTTGTGTCTTATTATTTATTTTTATTATCATACCTTTTACCTCCTCGTGTCTCTTAACCTGTTAAAATGTTATATGTTGTTGCTATGCTGCATGTACCTGTAAAGGTCTTAACATCTGATCTGAGGGGAATTTCTTGTGGTTTATTTTTAACTTGTGATGTGTGCCATTTTGTAAAGCACTTTGAGCTACACGTGCTTTATGAAAAGGGCTTTATAAATAAAGCTTTATTATATATTGCAATATATTTAAATTACAAAAGTTGTAAACCTATTCTTGGTTGTCAGCTTCTGTTATGTGCTACCTAGCATAGGAATATGACAAGAGCTGACCACCCACTGGTTGTGTAAACAATCAGTATTTTAAAGTAAAGTTGGACCAAAATATTGGTGTTTCTAAAAAGTCAACAATCTAATAATATTTTTGTATTTTATTTTTCAGGTATTGCATTCTCAGAGTATTGGGCTGCTGCCAACATGTCCGTGGGTACTGATGAAGAAGGATGGTGCAGTCATCACAGCTAACTGCAACTGCAAGGCTGGTTTGGGATCAACATGTACCCATGTTGCATCTCTCCTTTTCTACATAGAAACATCTATACGGATACGTGATGCCTAGACAGTTACCCAGGAAAAGGCGTATTGGCTTCTACCTGGATCAGTGAAGGATGTAACACCTTCCCCTGTTGCTGACATTGACTTTACTTCGGCTAAAACCCGAAGGAATCGTTTAAGCCAAGCAATTGACAGCCTTGGCGATGCAGCTAATTTAACAACAACAACACCACTTTTACGTCACTCGAGGGAGATTCCAAAAGCGACAGATGCTGAGCAACAGTCTTTCCTGGCATCACTGAAATCTACTGGAAGGAAGTGTGCAATATTGACAATCTCAGCTCCACACAATGCCGATTTTGTCCCAAAAGTGACTTTGTCAACATTTCCTAAGCCGCTTTCTAGTTTAAAAAGTGAGAACTGCCTAGAAATGGACCATAAAGCCCTTACAGAACATTGCCAAGGGATCAATGTAGCTATCACCAAGCCGGAGGCGGATGTCTTTGAGAAGGCCACAAAAACACAGGCCAAATCCAAACTCTGGTATCGATACAGAGCTGGGCGGATTACAGCATCTCGTATGAAGGCAGCATGTTCAACAAGTGCAACTAAACCATCGCTTAGCTTGATTAAAGCAATTTGTTACCCAGAAGCCACAACATTTAAAACTGCAGCTACTGAATGGGGATGTAATCACGAGAAATCAGCACGTGAAGATTACATTACAATTATGAATCGACATGACAGTTTCATTTGCCAGGACTCTGGGCTCGTGTTACCGCCAACATTTCCATATTTAGGTGCTACTCCAGGTGGTGTTGTGTCCTGCAAGTGCTGTGGTGTAGGTGTTTTGGAAATTAAATGCCCCTACTGTGTTGCTGCACCGTCAGACCATCATGTCTGGAATCACGTGATGGACAGGACAGGCTGAAGAAGACTCATGCCTATTTCTATCAAGTGCAGACCCAGTTATTTATATGTGATGTTGAATATGCTGACTTTGTTCTGTGGGTGAATGGAAAGATTCATCTTGAACGCATAACCCCAGATATTGACTTTTGGGAGAAGGTATACCCCAAAGCTCATGAATTCTTTCAGAAGGTCATTCTCCTCGAGTTGAGTGGGCAATTCTTCACCAGAATTTCCAGTGCAACTACACCAGTCTCCATTACTGCACCAAAAAGGCCTCTCTGCCTGATACCAGACCCTGCTCTATGTGCCACTCTGACTCAGCCAACCAATACCCAACCACTGATACCCAAGTGGTGCCTTTGTCGTGGAGAGGAAAAGCTTCCCATGATAGGATGTGATAACACAAATTGTGAAACTACCTGGTTTCATTTTGAATGTGTTGGTATAACAGTTGCCCCCAAAGGAAGCTGGTATTGTGACAAATGTCATCAGCATGTCCCCTCTCAAAAGAAACAGAAGTACTAATCAATCTGAATGACAGTGTATATATTTATTTGATTAAACATGTTTCTTTTACATCAAATCTATATAAAGAACATGTAAGTGTAACAATCAAAAAAAGTTGTGCACACTGAAATGACACAAAGCATCATTATTTAAACTGACATTGAAAGAGCAAAACCTCAGCTCAAATATCCAAAACTCTAAACACATGTTCAGCTCTGCACCCAATTTGCAATTCAACTTTCCACTTTTTGAAAAGTAAAAGTATAACAACAGTATATTTGTGTTTCTGCACATATTTTGGAGACTTGAACAATCTTTATTTGCAGAATTCTCTATATCAAACGCCATAAAAGATGAGTGTGCTTGAGCACGATGGTGTGTAGTTGGTTTTACAAAATGTCTTACTATAAATGAAGTGTGTGCCATTTGGTGCAAAAGTTTGGTGTTTCTGTAGTTCTGGGTGCAGTGCTTCATTCTGTATGGAGCTAATTTCCTGCCATAACTCCACAAACAAACTAACAGGTTTTACAAATGCCTTATGATTCACTAACAAACACAATGTGGTTTGCAAATACAAAACACCATCTACAAACTAATGAATTTAGTTTTGCAAAGAAAAAACGTATCTATCAAACAAACACATAACATTATTCTAATAAATCATGTTTCAGAGACAAATTCAGCTTAGGTTTTACAAGTACACAACTTTTTTTTACAAGTGCACACATTTGTTTTACAACTACAACACTTTGTTTTACAACTACAAAACTTTTTTTTACAAGTACACAAATTTGTTTTACAACTACAACACTTTGTTTTACAACTACAAAACTTTTTTTTACAAGTACAAAACTTTTTCTTCTCACGGCGGAATATTACTGCCAAAAGTCACGTGAGTGAGTCACGTGACTTTTGGCAGTAATATTCCGCCGTGGCTGGCTCATACACAGTCACACATGCTCACTCACACATGCTACACGGCAGCAGGGGGCGCTACTGAGTCCATTGGGAAGACGGGAGGTTGAGCAGAGCATGGAACAGCTCTTGCCAGTCTGATGACAGGTGTTATAGTGATAATATTATAAACAAGGTGAATTTAGCGATCACAACGAAAACAGCCAAGACACATATTGAGCCCAGAAAATAAATGTTATTAGGGGCTGTAAATATAATAAGCCTTTGTCTAAAATGGACAACATTGTAACTAAAGAGATTTAAACTATATATACAGCCAGGGGACGTTCGGGACGAATCCCGATGGGCCGGTACTGAAGTGGGCCGGTCGGATAAGTCACTGCTCACCCCCCCTTCCCCCCCGTCGACAATTTCCTCGCGGTATTTACTTGCGGCACCACCGAGGTGGGCCGCTTACTTGCGGTACCGAG